GGCTCGGGGGCCGGGCCGGCGGTGCCAGGACGGGCCGGTGGTGCCGGGGGCCGGGGAACGGCGGTGCGGTGCCGGGGGCCGGGGACCGCAGTGCTGGGCGGGCCGGGGGTGGTCGGCCGGGGGCCGGGCCCGGGGCCGGGGCCAGCCTGGGTCGCGCCTCCTTCCCCCACACTCCCCCTTACCTGCTTCAGGCTTCCCGCGACTCAAATGTTCGCGGGAAGCAGGGGAGGGGGCGGAGACTTTGGGGAGGGGGCGGAGTTGGGGTGGGGGCGGGGCCCCATGGAGTGTCCTCCTTTGGGAGGCACAAAATATGGTAACCCTAATGCTGCTGAACTTTTATGGGTGAGCAAGTGCTCGTGTAACACTGACAGACCCTGGTCGGCGGCATGCAGAATCGAACCTAGGGCCTCTGGAGCCTCTACAGCATGAGCCTCTACTGCATGAGCTAAAAGCCAACTGGCTGTTAGCTAAGGCTGTAGAGCAGACTCATTAATCATAGGCGTTGACTCCATGGGTGCTCTATGGCTGGAGCACCCACGGGGAAAAATTGGTGGGTGCTCTGCACCCACCAGCAGCAAAGCTCCCCGCCCTGCCCCAGCTCACCTCCACCCCTGAGCACACCACCGCGTCCTGCTTCTCCCCCCTCCCTCCCAGCTGTTTTGCGTGGCAAGCCTGGGAGGGAGGGGCAGGAGGGGAAACGTGGCGCACTTGGGGGCGGAAGCAGGGCCCGGGATTTGGAGAGGGGTCCAATAGGGGCAGAGAGGGGCGGAGTTAGGGCAGGGACTTTGAGGCGGGGGTAGAGTTGGGGCAGGGGTGCGAACACCCACCGGAGCAGAAAGAAGTTGGCTCCTGTGTCATTAAATGCTCTCTCTAAGTGGTCTCAGTTCCTCAAGATGTAACAGAACACCACACCCAGAAGGTGTGTGGGTTACATACTTCCCCTAGCTGAGGGAGTGTGACCCAAGCTTCAGAGACTTCCCACAGTTGAAATCCAGGATGAGCCCCCACTTGTAACGCCAACAGATTCCTGTCGTCGGCGGGCAGGATCAAACGGGGGACCTCTAGAGCTTAGTGCAGGAGCCTCTACAGCATGAGCTAAAAGCCAGCCAGTTGGCTTTTGGCTCATGCACTAAGTGCCACAGGTCCCCGGTTCGGACCCACCTGACAACACCCGGGTCTGTCGGCATTCCACTCGCTAAGATACTCCTCAGCGGGAGCCCCATCCTATCCATTTAAGGCAATGGGAACATAACCATTGGTTTCAATGGAAGCAGGAATGGGCTCAGCACTTGTTACTTTGCTTCCATTCTAAGAGGCAGGAGCACAATTCTGTATCAACCCATTCCATTGTGCATTAATGTGTGCTGGGTAAAAGTTTTTAATTTTATTTGTATGCATGTGGCTTCTGGAAATACCTACGTGTGAAGCTTTCCTTGATTAGCTTTCCCCACACTCTTCCCAAATAAAAGAGAGATTTGTATGATATTTAATTAACGTATCTTCAAAAATATTTTTAACAGGTTAGCTCTGCACTCTAATTTACTTTTCCTCGGCCAAGGCATGCCACTTAAAAAGATTTCTGGATTTTGAAGCCCCTAATCTGGTAATTAAAACTGAAACCCTCCTTGATGCTCCTTGTGTTTTAGGAGAATTCATCACTGGCTTTTCAATTTCATTTGCTTCTCTCTTTGGCAGTTCAGAGGTTTCTGAATCAGAGGTGTTTAAAAACAGAGCATATAGAGATTTAATGCTGGCATTAAACACTGAGAGAGAGTGTACTGTCTAGTGCAGGGGTGGGCAAACTACGGCCCGCCGGCCGGATCCTGCCCGTCAGGGCTTTGGATCCAGCCAGCAGGATTGCGACCCCCATGGTGCCGCAGGCCCCGCGCCGCTCCCAGAAGCGTCGGACACCACGTCCCCTGCAGGCACTGCCCCCCGCAGCTCCCATTGGCCGGGAATGGGGAACCATGGCAAATGGGAGCTTCAGGGGAGGTACCTACAGGCGAGGGCAGAACGCGGAGCCCTCTTCTCCCCCCCCCAGGGGCCGCAGGGACGTGGTGCTGGCCGCTTTTGGGAGCAGCGTGGGGCCAGGGCAGGCAGGCAGGCAGGGAGCCTGCCCTGGCCCCAGTGCGCATCACTGCCACCCCAGAGCCGCTCCAGGCAAGTGGCACTGGTCCAGAGCCCATGCCCCAAACCCCTCCTGCACCCCACACTCCCTGCCCTGAGCCCCCTGCCGCATCCTGCCTGCACCCCAACCCCTTGCCGCACCCTACACCGTTCCTGCATCCCACCCCCGTTGCACCTTACACCCCTCCTGCACCCCAACCCCATGCCCTGAGCCCCCTCCCGCACTCCACACCCACTCCTGCCCTTAGCCTCCTTCTGCACTCCGCACCCGCTCCTGCCCTGAGCCCCTTCCCACACTCCACACCCACTCTTGCACCCCAACCCCCTTCCCTGAGCCTCCTTGTACACCCCACACCCCTCCTCTGCCCCCACCCCCTTCCTGTACCCCGCACTCCTCCCACACCCCCTCCCACACCCCAACCCTACATTCATGGCCCTGCATGCAATTTCCTCACCCAGATGTGGCCCTCGAGCCAAAAAGTTTGTCTAGTGCTTAGAGTAAATATGGTGTCAGGACTCTTCTTTTCTCTTATCCAGTTCTGCCACTGACTCACTGTGGGGATGTCTACAAAGCAGCTGGGTGGTATGATTCCCAGCATGGATAGACATTCATGCACGAGTTCTGCTTGAGCTAGCACCTAAAAATAGCAGTTTGTCCATGATAACAGGAGCTAGCCATCTGAGCACATACCTAGGGGTTGGACAGAATTGTACTATGGCAGCCAGTCACCGTGCTGTTGCAGCCAACACATCTAAGTTTAGTAGACTAGCTCAATCAGAGCTAGCCTGTGTACCTGTACCTGAACTGGGAATAACCTCTCAACTGCTGTGTAGAAATACCTTGTGTGACCTTAGACCTGTCACTTTATCACTCTGGGCCTCCAATTCTCAACCTTTAAAAATTAAAGATAATTAGTAAATTCTGGTGGCTGGAGACAGCACATTTGCAATGGCAGGCTCCAAACACTGAGAAGCCCTAACTGAAGAGATCAGGAGGAGACCTACTCAAACTATGGCCAGGGCAAAATGCAAGACACAACTTGGTACAAACACCCAATGACAAGAGAGAATGACTTGGCAATGTCTCAAAGGAAAGAAAAGGAAAGCGAGGAAAGTAACAGAGAGAGAAGAGAAAGAATGGATTAGGGAAATAAATAATAACCCCCCACACTAAGCAATGTTATCAAATCAAATGGCAGAAAGTAGGATGGGGAAAGGGAAGGATGGGGAGGACAGGGGCAGGAGCTGGGATGAGAGGGATAGGAACAGGCCAGGGAAAACATAGGTATAAGAGTCTAAAACCACTCCCACTCCAAACAAACAAAACGCCCCACCCCAAACCAGGTTAAAATAACATTAAGTTTGCAAACTCAAGCACTCAGAAGTTAGGAAATGCCAGAATTAAGGATGCCTGTGCAATCTTCATTTGGCCCCTTTGAGCATATGCATTGTGACAGAGTTTTAAATTACACATTTTTTCCCACAGGACCTCTGCCTCATTCAGTGAACAGGTTGGACCTACTCTCAGGGTAGAACAAGGTTGTGCAGTAAAGGAGACTGTTGTCTGTAGGACTCCTGCCTTTTTTGTTGCAGAGTTGGAAGGTGTGTAGTTAATAAGGCAAGGAACTGCAGGAAGAGAAAGGGCAATTTTGTGGTGAAGGCAATTGACTGATACTTGTGTGTTCTTCATTTTCTGGGTGCGCAACTGGAGACCCTGGGGCTGATTTGCAGAAGTGCTGAGCACTCACAGCTGCAACTGAGATC